GCAGTTGGGCATGGTGGCTCATGCCTGCAATACCAGCTCTCAAGGAGGCTGAGGCAGGAGGATCGTTGTGAGTTTGAGGCCAGCCTGAACTGCATAGTGAGACCATGTCTCAAAAAGACCAAAAAAAAAAAAAAGGACAGGCTAGTAGGACAGTTTGCAATCGTTGATACATTGTGCATTGTCTTCATAATAGTTAATCAGATTACATGATATAGACACGATATCTTGTCTAAACAATATTAGTGCAAAGCATTTTTTTCAAAGAACTAAGAGAAGCTAGCTGTATAACTATCTTAACTATCTTATGTATACGTATTTTCTTTCTTTTTCCCTTTTTTCCTTTCCCATTTCCCTCTGAGCCAAGGAGAAGAAAAACAAATCAATAGCAGCTTGAGTAGAACCCAATGACAGATTATAGACAAAACCCTTCCTGATATAAACATCCTCCCTGGACATTAACTTGAACCAGCCTGCTGGATCACTGTGTTGAAGCAGGATTTGTAGAGCTGCCTGTTTGTCCTTAGTGTACTCATGGGCTTTTTCTTTTTCTGTTACGTCTGAAACTAGGATCATAACTGCGTCACTGTACCTGCAGAGGCAATGTCACATGGAGAGAACTACTGAACCCAAAGAAGAATCTGGGTCCAGGCAGAGGCACAACACAATGGAGTAACACAGTTAATTCTCCAAAGCATGCTATTTCTGTTACAGCAAGCTTCAATGAGACAGGTATTCATGAGAAGCTGAAAATGTGGGAACAAAGTTTTATTGGATCACACAACCAACACCACTGACCAAGAGTCAGAAACCAAGATGTTAGTGACAAGAGAACTGACAGTGACAAGATGTCACTGACAACAGTCAGTGACTGCTTTTTATACATTTACAAGTAACCATGGTAACCACTTTACCTCATCTAAAGTTTGACTTCCAAAGTGGCATTACAAAAAGAAAATGGAGGGTGACCCAGGATCCCACCGCCATTACAGACTGAGTTTCTGCCTTCCCTGCACCTGCGGCAGAGAGGAGGTCCTCACTCAGAAGCCCCAGGGACGTCTCTGGCTGGGTGGATGTGTAGCCCTGTGCGCACTCTGCACCAAGTGTGCAAGTGTTCTGGGAGCTGCTGGTCCTGTGGTTCAAGTCCATGCTTTACTCACACCGCCATGGTTCCCAGCTTTAACTCGCAGAGAGCCAGGTATTTCCCATCTACTTCCTGAGGTCCAGGGAAGACCCAGGACCCCGCCACCATTACAGACTGAGTCTCTGCCCTCCCCACACCCACGGCAGAGAGGAGGTCCTCACTCAGAAACTCCAGGGATGTCTCTGGCTGGGGGGTGCATAGCCCAGTGCACCCCCGTGCCAAGTGTGTGAGTTTTCTGGGAGCTGCTGGTCCCGTGGTTTGAGTGCATGCTTTACTCACACCGCCATGGGTCCCAGCTGAAACTCGCAGAGCCAGGTATTTCCCATCTACTTCCTGAGGGCAGAGCGGGTGACCCAGGATCCCGCTACCATTACAGACTGAGTCTCTGCCCTCCCTGCACCCGCGGCAGAGAGGAGGTCCTCACTCAGAAGCCCCAGGGACTTCTCTGGCTGGGCGGGGGCATGTGTAGCCCCTCCCTCCACGTGCCCTGTGCCGAGTGAGCAAGTGCTCCAAGAGCTGCTGGTCTGGCATTTCAACTCCGTGCTTTACATTCACCAGGATCCTCTAGGGGGCCGAAGGCATGGGCAGTCTGTGATTGCTACCCATCCAGCCTGCATCTGGTTCCTGTATGTGTCCTGAACTCACTGGAGACACAGAATCAGGTGGTTCACAAACTGATGATCCTGTAGTTTGTGTCTGGGTTTTGCCTGTACCCTGAACTGCCTGGGGACATAGGTCCACTGGATGTGGACTGTCACACCAGTGCAACCCAAGTCTGGGGCATGCATGTGCCCTGAACTGCAAGGGGATGCTGGAACAGACAGTCGGCCACCAGCTGACACCAATGCCTGTGTCTGAGACCGGGGATGACTAGATACAAATCAACAACTGCTGGAAAACCCAAGACTAAGCACTTCTCAGAGGCCACTTGGGCAAACCTGACCAACAGGAAAACTAGAGACACTAGTGGCCTTTGCTGTGCAGCTACTGAAGAGGGAAACTGAGCTTTCTGCATCTGGTAGCAAACATGACAAAACTAAGGGCTAAAACACAATCCCAGAACTCCACCCCACTCAGAACAAGTCCAGAAGACATCAACATAGGAGAAATTGGTAAACACATGCCTGAATTAGCTGAAATGATTGCAATGGAAGGAAAGAAACAACTTCATAAGGCCATAAAAGAGATCAAATCAGAAATAATCTCTCAGGCAAAAAATGAAATGACAATAATAATGAAACAACTGTTCAAAACATCTGAAAAAGAAACATATAAGAAAATAGAAAAAGGCAGTGGAAGGAAACGTTAAATGAAAAATACAGAAAGGACTTAGAAGGCATGAACCTGTTTGTCCTTAGTGGACTTAGTGCCTGGGTCCAGGCAAAGGCACAGATTCAAAGAGACTTCCAGGAAAACAAAGCTTCCACTGAAAGTTGCCAAAC